GGCAGGCGGGGGCGGGGGGGGCCCTGTAGAGACCAGAGTGAAAATGCTTTCCTCGCTGAAGGGGGTGGGCAGGGGAGGACAGAGCACAGCCTATCCGCGACAGAGAGAGCGGGAGGGAGGGAGAGGAAGGGGGAACGAAGACACGGAATGTATGGGGAGATAAAGAGAGAAACAGAAATGGAGAGACAGAGGGAGAGAGAGAGACAGAAAGATGGAGAAAGAGGCAGAGGCTAGGACCTCCCTTCCAAGAGTATGGAGGAAGTGATGCTGTGTGACTTCTGAGACGAAGTCATAAGATGCCAGGCAACTTCCACCTTACCCTTGGGACACTTGCTCTGAGAACCCAGCTACCAGGATGTGGAGAAGCCAAACAGCTGCACGGAGTGTCCGCATGTTGGGGTTGTCTGCTCTGAGAGCCATGGTTGAGGTCCCAGCCAACAGCCAGCACAACCCTCAGTCGTGTGACTCACCCAGCCTGTGAGCCACCACAGACGACTCTATTGGGAGCAGAGATGAACTGCCCGCCCTGGGTCCTGCCCAGATTACGTCTGAGCAAAATAAATGATGGTAGTAGTTTTACCACTAAGTTTGCAGTTGTTTAGTGTGTTCAAATAGGTAACTAGAAGTCCACCTACCCCTCACACATCATCGTCATCATCTTTATCAACAATACCCTCCCTACCATCATCACCATTGGCACCACCATCAGCAGCATCACCACCATCATCACCACCACCATCACCATCATCATCCTCCTCCAATCTCTCCAACCTGTGCTTCACGAACTCTCTGAAGTTTCCATGTCCACAAAATACCCGCTGTGCCTGGAACACTGGACCATGCCATGCTCTTTCTTGCCTCTCTAACTTTGTAAACTCTGTTCCTTTTGCCAAGACTGTTCTCCCCAAGATTCATCTGGAAAATGCCAGCTCCTCTTTAAACACCTGCACTTTTGGGGTCTACCCTCATGCCCCAGGCAGTAACCCTTGTCTCCCCTTGGTATCTCCAGCCCCCTCCTCTCACCTTCTCTGTATTAGTGTACCAGGGCTGTGGGAACAAGTACCACAAACAGAATGGCATAGACAGTGGAGATTTATTCTCTCATGTTTCTGTACGCTAGGAGCCCGAGGTCAAGGTGTCAGGATTGGCTCCTCCTAGGGGCGTGGGAGGAGAATCTGTTCCATGACTCCTGGCTTCTGGTGGTTTCCCGACAATCTTTCGTGTTTCAGGGCTTCTGCTGCATCTTACAGGGCGTTCTCCATGTGTCTGTCTGTCTGTCTCCAAATTTCCCCTTTTCATAAGGACACTGGTCATGGTGAATTAAGGGCCCACCCTACTCCAGTTTGACCTCAACTAAATTTAACTAATCGCATCAGCAACGACCCTATTTCCAAAGCAGTTCACATCCTGAAACATCATCGGGGGAGAGGACTTCACCACATGAATTTTGAAGGGGATACAATTCAACTCATAATAATCACCATGGTTCTATTCTCAAGCGACTGTTACCACCTCCCTGAGTGAAAGCTACCTGGGGGCCTACTTCCCTAGCATCCCCCACTCTGCCCACTCCAGGAACAGAACAGGCACTCTGCAAACGCTGGCAGAAGGATGACCATTCAGAAGCTGGCTCTGCTGATTAAGCACTGATTAAAATGATGACCATGGAGGTGGGGACTAACCCTTTAGCTCATTCAACAAGGTTTCCCATTTTCTAGATTTGAGAAACTGATTTTACATGGAGGTATAAAGGGGCTAGCCTATTTAAAATGTCCCTGAAAAACAGGAATGATTTAAGGCACTTTCAGATTTATTACACAGCAGTGGTTATTAACACAGAGTGGCAAGAGTAGAGACACACAAAGGAATGGGGAAAAAAAGCCCAGAAACGGACCCCACATGTGTCAATTTATATGACACGGAGAACACTGCACCACGGTGGGGGAAATGGGCTTCTCAGTAAATTATTCCAGGACAACGGTGGTCCAAAGTATTAAAAGAGAGAGAGAGGAAGGAAGGACGGAAGGAAGGAAGGGAGGAAGGAAGGAAGGAAGGGAGGGAGGGAGGGAGGGAGGAAGAGAGGAGGAGAGAGAGAGAAAGAAA